ATGATAATGGAAATACAGCACAGAAAAAGTTGTGGGGTTAAGTCAAAACAGTGATTCGAGGGAAAACCACAGCTTTGGATGCCTGTGTTTGAAAAGAAAAGGGCCAAGCCCGGGGCACAGCCCTGTCATCCCAGCCACTCGGGAGGCTGAGGCAGGGGGATCATGAGTTTCAGGCCAGCCTTAGAGAGACCCTGTCTCAGAATGAAAAATACAAAGGGCTAGGGGTGTGGCTCCGGGATAGACCCCTCCCCGCCCCGGGTTCAAGCCACCCGTGAGAAGGTTCTCAGCCCTGAGAGACACCCCTCCTGGACTTGAACCTTTGACTTCTCCGACCCACTTTTCAACTAGACCTGACCAGGGCCCGGTCCCCAGCCTGCCCAAGGCAGTCTTAGCAAAGAAGCTTGCCACGTCACCCCCACCCCATGCCATGGGACCCAAACCTGCCCAGCAGGAAGCCTCTAAAGCTGTCCACCCCCAGGACCTGACCACCTCCAGACACTGCCACACGGAGCCGGGGCTTCCCACGGGGATCTGGAGAGGCCCAAGGGGTCCCCGCGCACCCAGCTCTCCGTGTCCCCCGCGGTGTTTTCCACCCGGTCCCTCACTCTCCTCGTTGGCTGTCAACCCACAGATCTTCTCTGTCCAGGTCCCCCTTATCCACGGGGAGGTGTTCCAAGACCCCCTGGATGCCTACCCGAAAGTGGGTGTTACGCCAAACCCCACACCTAGGACGCAAGCTCATCCACAAACGAGGCACCGGAAGAGACGAGCAGTGACGGTAAAACAGATGGAGGGTGACAGCACCCCGTAACAAAAGTCATTTCAAACCTCTGCCTGGGGCTGGGGCAGTGCACTTGCTCAGTGTGTGTGTGTGTGTGGGGGGGGTGGTCCTGGATTTGATCTCCAGCATCACCCCAAAAAAAGCAAATTGTTTATTTCTGGAATTTTCTATGGAGTATTTTCGACTGCACTTCACCCTGGGTAACAGAGACCCCAGAAGGTGAACCTGTGGATAAGCAGGAGACGACGGCAGCGGACGGGTTCCACCGCGAGCTCTTTTTTTTCAATCTGAATGAAACTGTCTTCGCCTCTTTTCACGCTGGCTGGCTCTGCCCTGTGTGGTGGCATCCAGACGCGTCACGAAGACCTGAACCACACCACGAGCAGTTGGAATCCACTCACGCGTAAGAATTTGTTTAGCAACAGCTGGGCGCCAGGCTGTGTCGGGGCTGTGGGTACCGCCAGGGCCAAGAACTCGGCAGGCAGGACTCCCCAGCCCTGTGGAGCTGACATTCCAGCCACCAAATGTGAAGGTCACAGGACAGCAGGCAGGAAGGGAGGCGAGCCGGGCTCTCCAATCTGTGGCTGGTGCCGCTGTCAAATGAGAAGAAGGTGCTGGAAGGAGGGACTCTGGTGGGACAAATGGCAGACTCAGCTCTGGGCATGGTCAGGTCGAGGTTTCCGGGACACCCGCTGTGTTTCGGCAGGTTCCTTGGCATTAGTGCGTTGGAAACTGCTGCTAGCTTTCTGTCGCTGTGACAAAGTGCCTGAGAAAAACAACTTAAAAGAGGAAAGGTTCCTTTTGGTTCTGGGTTTCAGAGACTCGGGTCAGTCCGTGGTCAGCGGCTCCATGGCTTCTGAGCCTTGGTGAGATGGGCGTCGTGGCGAAGGGTGCCCAGAGCAGGCTACCCTCAGGCAGCCAGGAGGCAGGAAGGCAGGGCTGGGAGAGCTGTAGTCCCCTGGCCCTCCCCAAGGACCCGGGGCCTTGCACTAGGTCCTCCTCCTGGTGACCGCCACCTCCCAACCGTCCGTTCAGCTATGGCTCCAGCCACAGGGAGGGCTGCCAGGGTCCATCACCTCCCAAAGCCCACCTCTGACGCTGCCACACCGGGGACCTCGGGCCGCGGGAACATCCCACATCCAACTGTGACAGACAATTAGTCCCCAAAATCACACCCAGTGGTACCTGGAGGTGGGACATGGGGAGGTGACTGGGTCATGAGCGCTTTCCCCTCCCAAATAAACCAACCCATTCATGGGAGGGTGGGTCCCCAGGGGGTGGCCATGCCCTGAAAGACGGCTGTCCCTGGCAGCACCATCTCACTGCAAGTGCCCCCGTGGCGCTGCGACCCAGCGAGAAGCCCCACACGGCGCAGGGCAGATGCAGGCGCCACGCTGCAGAGTCGCGAGCCCAGCGATGTCTCATCCACAGCAGGAGGCGACTGGGGACCCGGAGAGTCTGGGCTGCAGACAAGGAAGCGCTATCTTTAGCCAAAGCACTGGTGAGGGTGAGGAGACCGAGCAGAGAGGGACAGGACTGAGGACAGAAGCCCGGGGGACCCATGTACGGACCAAGGGAGTGATGACCTGAGGAGGATTGAAAAGGAGCAGCTAGACATTATTCCCTAGGGCTGCCGGACACAAAAGGCCACCGTGGGGTGATTTCCCCTCTGTGAGGTCCCTAGAATAGTGACATGTGTGAAGGCAGACCGTGGACCAGGGGCTGCGGGGACAGAAGAAGTGGGGGATGGGGAGTCGGTGCTTAATGGGGGCGAAGCTTCAGTCAGGGAAGAGGGAGACGTTCTAGAGAGAGAGACAGACGTGGTGATGACCTCATCCCAAGAGTGACATCTGAGTGTCCCTATCCTCTTAAAAATGGGCAAAGGCTCCCAGCAGCTCCGGAGGCTGAGGCAGGAAGATCACAAGTTCAAAGCCAGCCTCAGCAACTTAGAGAGGCCCTAAGCAACTCAGTGAGACCCTGTCTCTAATAAAATATTTAAAAAAAAAAAAAAAAAGGCTGGGGATGTGACTCAGTGGTTAAGTGCCCTGGGTCCAATCCCTGGTACAAAAAAAAAAAAAAAATTGGTAAAAGCAGCCAGACATGGTGGCACTTACATATAATCCCAGCTACTCTAGAGGCTGAGGCAGGAGAACACTGGAGCCCAGGAGTCTGAGATCAGCCTGGGCAACTTAGCAAGATGCCTTCTCAAAAATAGAGAGCCAGACAAGGTCGGTGGCACACACTTGTAACCCCAGCAGCACGGGAGGCTGAAATGGGAGGATCACAAGTTCAAAGCCAGCCTCAGCCTCCGTGAGGCCCTAACTAACTCAGTGAGGCCGTGTCTCTGAATAAAATACAAAATGGGGCTGGGGAGGTGGCTCAGTGGTCGAGAACCCTGATTCAATCCCCGTACCCAATAAATAAATAAAAGGGTTGGGGTTGTGGCTCGCCTAGCATGTGTGAGGCACTGGCTTCGATCCTCAACACCACATAAAAATAAATCAATAAAATAAAGACATGTATCCATCTACAACTAAGTTTTTTGTTTTTTTTTTTAATAAATAGATCAGGCTGGGGTGAGGCTCACATGAGCAAGGCTCTGGGTTCCATCCCTAGCGCCACAGAAAAATAAGGAAACAAATCAACAGTCAAAGGTTGGATGAGAAACAGGATATCTGCAAAGTCTCAAGGCGTCCCCCGCAGATACTTCCCACGTCCCACACTTCACGATGGGGCAAGCTGGCCCCACCTCAATAAGGCACTCAAACTAATACAGAGGTGTCTGAATCCACTCTCTGTGACTATGACTGAACACCACAGATTGCGTGACTTATAAAGAATCGAGGTTCATTTAGCTCATGGTTCCAGGGCTGGGAAGTCCAAGGACATCTGGGGAGGGCCTTCTCCAAGGATGACAACACGACAAGACAGAGCAAGGGTGCTAGACCCAGCTGGTTTTGATAACAAAGCCCCTCCCTCCATAACCCATGAATCCCCTTACCCACAGACGGATCCACCCATTGAGCCCCGTGACCCAGCTACCTCCCAGGGCTCCCGCCACTCTACACAGCTGCGCTGGGAACCAAGGTTTCAACACACGGAACGTGGAAGGCACATTCAACCCACAGCATGGGGTAAATCAGCGTCCCACACCTCCTGATATGACACATGGAGGACACCACATCATGACAAGGACTCGTGCCAAAAAAAAAAAAAAACAAAAAAACATTACCTGAATTCAAGTGCCAGGAAGCGTGGGTCAACTCCAGACTGAAGCCCGTTCTACCAAATAGCTGTCCTACTCTTTTCAAAAATGTCAAAGGGGCCCAGCACGGTAGGGTGCCCTCTAATCCCAGCTATTCAGGAGGCTGAGACAGAAGGATTGTAAATTTGAGGCCAGCCTCAGCCACTTAGTGAGACTCTGTCTCAAAATAAAAATCAAAAATGACGGGATGAAGCTCAGTGGAAAAGCGCCCCCTGGAGTCAATGCCTAGAAGTGCATTTTTTTAAAAAAGTATCAAAGGCAAGAAAGGGTAAGAAAGGGGATTTGCCCTGGATTAGGGGAGAGAAAGAAACAGGTAAACACACGGCACCGTGCAACCCTGGACGCCTCCTAAACTAGAGGGAGGGACATGTGTGAGATCAGCAGCAAACTCTGAGATTAGGTGTATTATATTAACATCACTCCCTGATTCCAAGGCACACACTTGAGCTCTGCGGACATTACCATGTGAATGACCCCTGTGAATCCTTCCTGCTGTTTTCAAACTTTGTCAAGGGAAATTCACACCCCCCAAAATTACCCAGCTCAAAGCCAGCTGTCCAACCTTCTCTGGAAGTTCCCACAAATGGGAACATTCGAGTGGCTTCTCTCCCTCAGCAGGAGGTTTTCAAAGCACTAACCCAATGTAACATTGCCTCGTTCCTTTTCGTGGCTGAATAATATTCCATTATGCCTCAGTTGTTCATCCGTCACAGGACAACTAGGGCTGCTTCGCCTTGCCACCGCCGTGAACATGACAACTTGCCCACGAACCCCTCTGCTTCCAATTTTTCAGGGTGTACAGCCGAAGAGGAACCCCCTCTAACTATTTTTGCAATAGTTTTAGAAGTCTGCAATGATTTCCAAAGAAAATATTTTTTAATCAAAGTCAATGAGACAATCAAAATCAAGGACTTGTAGATAAATTCACAGTCTTGGAGCAAATTAGATGGGGTGAGGAGAAAAGTCCCCCTGAGGTTTGGGGGCATAACCCAGAGGAGGTGCACTTGCCTGGCCTGCACCAGGCCCTGGTTCCGTCCCCAGCACCAGAAAAGGGAAAAGGCTCCTCCTGAGACGCGCCTGGAATCTAGACCCGAGGATGGAGCCCTCGTGCCGGCCTGTGGACATCAGCACCTGAATCGGGGCTTCAACTCCAAGAGCGACTGGTGTGGGCGCCTGCGGCCCAGAGCCTCGGGGACCGGAACTTGCTTCTCCGGGTGGAATCCCAGGCAACCTCGCTGTCACCACTGGAAAAAATGAGCAGCAATGTCGCGTGCAACTGAAACACCCGGTGACCCCATGCCCTGCAAAAGGAGCCAGGCGAGGCAAGACAAATACCGCACCGTCTCATCTAAAAAGCCAAACTCCCTCCTGGCTCAGGATGGGACTGCATGCTCCTACCCAATCTCGAACCTCTGGACCCCGAGCCACAGTAACCCTGCACTCCATAAGTACCTGGTGTCCACTGTCTCAGGTGAGTGGCAGGAGCCCGCGGATACAGGGTGTAAGGTGCAAATGAGGCAGAAATGCTCGGGAACTAGAACGTCATGGTGGTCGCACAGCACCGTGAAGGTCCTCAGCACCCCTGAATTGTTCCTTTCCAATGGGTGGATATTATGTTCTGTGAATTTCACTTCCATTATAAAAAGAAGGAAAAAAAAAAAGTTCGATGTGCAAACTTGGAAACTTTTGCTGAAAAATAGAGACGAGGGCTCCCTCTGGCGGCAGAGTGGAGAATAGGCCATACTGTGCCGCGGACGCTGAGGCTGGAGGTGGGACTAATGAACTTGAACTTGGCATTTTTATTTAAGAGTACTGGTCTGACATTTTGTACAAGGCCCTCTTTTGTAAATTTTTTTGTAGAGGTGGTAGACAGCACTCAAAGTGGGTTCATCTGATTTGTGTTTCTGTGATACCAGGGATTGAACCCGGGGGCGCTCTACCATGAACTCCCCATCTCCAGCCCTTTTTTATCTTTCATTTTGCCACAGGTTTATCCAGGTTAACCTCAAACTTGCAATCCTCCTGCCTCAGCCTCCCAAGTAACAGGGATTACAGGTGTGTGCCACCACACCTGGCTTTACACGATGTTTCTATCACTTTTTTGATAACAGGCGGCATTTAAATAGTGTTCCCTTTAAAATGAGCAGCCTCTTGGTCACAAGAGGTTAAGTAACAGATGTGATTTCAGCATTTTCTTTCTTTTTCTGGACTCTTCTAGAAAAGTCTTTTCTCTTCCAACTGAATTGAGCATTCCCACTGGAATACTAAATGGCTGCAGACCACAGGAATGACCTCACCCCAGCTCCTGTTTGAAACCAATAGCTACAGCATCAACATCGTTTTCTAATGGCAATCAGATGTGACATTTCAACACTTTTTCCTCTTCCCCTTTTGGCTGTACAGCTTTGTGCAACCTCCAAAATTTAAGAGCCGACTGTTGCCAGGCGCAGGGGTGCAGCCTGTGATCCCGCGACCTGGTCAGCTGAGGCAGGAGGATCACAAGTTTGAGGCCAGCGATGGCAATGTATCAAGACCCCGTCTCAAAACTTAAAAACTAATAATAAGAAGGGGGGACACAGCTCCGTGGCAGAGCACCCCTGGGTTCCATCCCTAGTATGGAGAGGGAGAGAAAGAATATTGTAAAGTAAAAAATAAGATGTGTTCGCATTGGCTGAGGATCAGAGGGAATCGTGAGTTTCCAGTACTGCGGTGTCTCGAGGTTACCCTCACTGCGCCCCCGGAGAAGTGAGTCTGTGAGCCATTTACCTGGTCAGAACAACAGGCTGGGTGGTGATATAACATCACCAAGGTTGTATAGTCAGCAAGGGCACAGGCGAGATTCAAATCCACGCTCCTCTGCTGTGCAGTGATGCTTATTAAATATAATGAAACCTTCTCCATCCACCAAAAAACAAAAAAGTAGACTTATGCCAGGTGTGGTGGGTACACGCCTGTAATCCCCACGGCTCAGGAGGCTGAGGCAGGAGGATTGTGAGTTCAAAACCAGCCTCAGCAACTTAGCGAGGCCCTAAACAACTCAGTGAGACCCTGTCTTTAAAATATATACATAGGGCTGGAGATGTGGCTTAAATGTTTTAGTGCCCCTGGGTTCAATCCCCATACCAAAAAACAAACAAACAAACAAAAAACTGACTTATGTCTTCTGTGCTTATCCGAAACATCTAGTGACCCAGTCCTGACCCTGGGTCAATCACAATCTGTACCCTAGAATCCACTGTCCCTTTATCCCTTTTAGTAACAGAATCCCCTGAATTTCAGGACATATGATCCCAGCAGAAACTACATTTCCCAGAAACTCTTGCAGCTGAATATGCCCACATGACTTGAGTTTGAGCCAAAGGAACAGATACAATCAAGATAAAACCATGTAGAAGTCATCTCCTGTGACACAAAGCCACTTTCCCCAGACTTTCTCCTCCTCCTTTCTGCTGATTGAAACTTGGACAGGAGACAAATGTGTCTGAGGACAGCCCCTGGGAGATGGAGGAGCACAAAGGTGAAGGAATCTGGTTCCTTGGATGACCTGGTGAAGCACAGAAAGACAGCAAATACTCCACATGTATCTTACATGACCTTCTTGGCACCCTGCTTAGCTTTCATCAATGACTTGGGCCCACACAAAGTCTGTAGCGTAAACAAAGTAGAATAACAAACCATAAAACTTGTAACCATCCCATCAAGTCCAAGGTCTTGTAACGATTACTGTAAAAAACAAAAATAAACTGGAGGCCACAGTGTGGCTATATCCCAAGGCCAAGTGTTCATAATCACGTAGCTGAAACTTAAGCTATTTATGGGATTGGGGTATAGCTCAGTGGAAGAGTGCTTGCCTAGCATGCAAGGGCCTTGGGTTCATCCCCAGTACAGAAAAGAGAAAAATAAAAGTCATGCTGATTTCTCAAAAACACTAGCTCTAATTCATAAGCAAAAAACACACACACACACACACAAAAAAAAAAAAAAAAACATAAGCTACATCCTCATCAACATGACTCAGTGAAATTAAACCAATCAGCTGGGACACATCAGCTTAAACAGCTGTTTGCCTTTAAAAGAAAGTTAATGAATAACAGCCTATCACGAAAAAGGTCAAAATACTTCCTCCTTAATGTTTTATAAACTGTGACCTTACTGCTGCTGTAAAGGAGATTCTTAACCAACCAGCTTGAAGTCTCTGGGATCACAACCTGTGCTTTTCGTATAAAGAGAAACTTACATTTCTCTTAACTTGATTTGATTTTTGATGTTATAAAAGCATTAGGTAGGCTGGAAGGTAGATGGTACAAACAGGACCATCATGCAAACAGAATAAGGCACCTCTTTAATTCACTAGAGGCGGGGACTGGAGATCAGCCTAGCAAGAAGCCTGGGTTCCATACCCAGCAAGGCTGGGTGGGGGGAGAAAGATAGAAGGGAAGCAGGGAGAAAACCTTTAGAGGACTGGACCTGCTCTCTAGCTTGGAGACCGCAACCTGTGTCCATCAGCCCCAGGACCCTGCCCCTGAGCCAGTACCCTTTGCAGAATACAACTTGTAACGGCCACATACAGCAGCCCTGTGCGCAGGGGAATAAAAAAAAAATAGAAAGTGGGGAGGGAGGAGGATCTGGGATCTAAATGAATATCTTGTAACATGAATCCTTCTCAGGGCACTGAGGAAGTTTTCTATTTAAAGAAATCCTGCAGCGAACTCTTTTGTAAAGGATGCTTTCGGAATGGAATTAGTCACCACTGAGTCATTTGTGCAGAACTCGGAGTTGCGGTTTTGTCTAAACAAGTTCTGGCTTGAAGAAGTCAGATAAATTATAGATGCTGTTAATAAATTATATAGTATTCAAAGGCAAAGGAGGAAAGGAGAAAAGGGGGGCCGTATGTGATGTGCCAGGTCGACACTGGGAGGTCTTTAAAGCGGTTTCCACTGGCATCGAAGTTGTCATTTGATTAAAAAGTGCTCCCAAGGCCTGAAAGTCAGTTTCTGTCCCATCAGCGAGCCAACGCACAAAGACCGGCTCAGACCAGCGGCTAGACAGTAATGAACAAGCTCTCGTAGCCACGCCCTCGCCCCGCCCCGGTTGCCCTGACAACTGCGTCGGCGTCTGGGCGGGGCCTCAGGGAGCAGCCAAGCTCCCACAGTCCCCCGCGCGCGTTCGCGCATGCGCGTGTGGCTGGTGTCGCGCTGCGGCCGGTGGCCTACGGCCCACGGACCTCCGGGCTTAGGCCGGTCGCTTTCCCAGCCGAGAACTAGGCTCCGAAGGGCCCAAGAGGGATGAGAAGCTCGTCTGGGCGCCCCTCGGGTCTGGAGCCCAGGCCACCCTCTCCACGCCGTGAGATCGCGGTCTCGCAGCCTCGGGGGCCCCGTTTGTGGGGGGAGTTCACGCCCCTGCCGCAGGCGGCCCTGGGCACCCGGAGAACTCGGGACAGGCTGGGCCCCGGAGTGGGGTCCGTGGGGCGGAGGGGCTCCCGCAGCAGCCTGAGGAGGTGGGCGCTGTGACTGTGAGCATCCACGGGAAAAAACCGGTCCCGGAGGCCCAAGTGGCCCAAGGGATGCCAGCGGGGCGCGGCGACAGGGCCCTCCCGGGTGCCCCCACGGAGAACCCGGGCCGAGCTGGTGGCGTACCTCCCACGTGCTCGGGGTAGAAGTCGAGGGAGGGGACGCGGGGAGAGGGCAACAAGGAGCATGTGTCGTCCAGGCTGCAAACGTGGTGGGGAAATGTTGGGATTTAGAAGCCCAAAGATGCTTGACCTTTGTTTTGGAGGCGGGGAGCGGGGGTGCTGAGAATTGATCCCAGGGCGCTCCACCACCGGGTTACAGCCCAGCCGTGTGTCACCTGATGCCCATGTTGGCCTTGTGATCCCCCTGTCTCAGCCTCCTGGGTAGCTAACAGGCCACCTTTGGAAACAATACCTTTGGTAGCAGATTCTTCGGCCCACTTGGCTTCTCCCCCTTGGTCAGCACGGCCCAACCTTCTGCCCGACCTGAGCTCCCATTTTGTTTTCTATTCCTAGAGTGAAAGGTTTCTTAACTATACTACTGGCATCAAAAGCCAGATCTTTTTTTGAAGTGGGACACTGTCCTAGGCACTGTTAAGAAATTGAGCAGCATATGCAGCCTTTTCTCTCTACACACCAGGAACACTCCCTTCCAACCTGAATTGTCACCACGAAAAATGTTCCCGTGCCAGGCACACCTGGAATTCCACTTCCTTGGGGGGCTGGGGGAAGCTAGGGCAGGAGGATGGCAGGCTCCAGGCTAACCTTGGCAACTTAGCAAGACCCTGTCTCAAAATAAAGAACTGGGGATGTGGCTCACTGGTAAAGAGCCCCTTCTTCAATCCCCAGTATTGGGGAGGAAAAGTCTCCAGACACTGCCAAACAACCCCTGGGAGAGGAGAATGGCCTGAGTTGAGAACTTCTAACCTAGAGCCAAAATTCAGAAGACAGAAAAGTGGGTTAGTCTTCACAAATAGATGTTTAATTCTTTGACCATCATCATATGCCAGAAGGTATATATTAAAGGATCCTCAGTTTCAGTTCTCTGGAGTCTGAAAAATGTTGAGTTGGCAATTCCAGAAATAATGCATAAGTTTCAAAGAACTTTCATTGTATGTAGTTATAATTTTTCTGTTTTATTATTAGGTGTTATTGGGAATTTCTTATTGTGCCTAATTGATCAAGTTAAGCATGATAGGTACATATGTATGTGTAGGACAAAACATGTGTTAATTGTCTCACCATAGAGATGTTTTAAATGGCCAGATATTCTGGAAACTGGTTGACCCAATTGGATTATATGGAACACAATGTATAAGATTGTAATGGAGCCGGGCTGGTGGCACACGCCTGTAATCCCAGCGGCTCAGGAAGCTGAGGCAGGAGGATCACAAGTTCAAAGCCTGCTTTACAACATCGAGGCACTAAGCAACTCAGTGAGACCCTGTCTCTTAAATAAAATTCAAAACAGGGCTGGGGATGTGGCTCAGTGGTTGAGTGCCCCTGAGTTCAATCCCCAGTACCAAAAAAAAAAAGATTGTAATGGATAGTTCTACTGCATAGAAGCAGCCCTGGCCAAGAATCAGGAGACCTGGGTTCTGTCCTCAGTTCTGCGACTGCACATTGTGACCTTGTCACTTATTTCCCTAGACTGGTTCCTCCTCTGTCAAGTGACGATGCTGAGGTGATTTCTAAGGGCCTGGAAATACCCAGAGTCTGGTCCCCCCACAGGAAGTTATTGAGGCCACCCAGGCTGCCTGTGACCTTTTCAGTTCCCCTCCACATGTCTTGTTCAGTCAGCCTCCCAGCCTGTCCCCTAAACACATCTTTCTGAGTCCGTTTTCCAGGCTGCTACCATAGACAAACTCATTATTATTCCTGATTTTAACAAGTAAATTACGGTGGTGTTGAACACAGCAGGGCAGGGGCTGGTTTGTGGGAAATTATGGTGTTTAAGCCCAAGACACCCTGGTGTTTGTGTGAGGAAAAATAAAATTAAAAACTGGTCTTTTAAAATGCTCTGTGACGTTGTGCTTAAGTTATGGGAATATTGCACATGTTCACATCAGTTATTTTGACCCGGCTAATATTCATAACAAACAAACAAACACTGACCATCTCTGAATTCCTTTGGCACTCTCCTGCCTTTCCAGCACACTCCTGCCTTTCCAGGTCCTCTGCAGTTGCCAGGTAACAGGTCCGAATATTTGTGTGCAGGAACTTGACTGGGATCCTGCTCGTAGGAAAGGGTCTCCCCAGGACAACCCACGCTGAGCAGTGTAAGCTCCAGAGAGGGACTCCTTCTCTGGTCACCACAGTGTCTTTGCAGCGCTTAGTGACCATATTGATGAATGAACAAGGGGTGTCTGGGATATTTGAATACATAATAAACCCAGTCTAAATGTCTGCCTGACATTCAGGGCTGTATTCCAACTTCCTGGGAAGTATTTGTGTATTGGACATCTCCCCCCCTTTTTTCTCCCCCTGGCTGGGCACCTTATGTCCTTTGCCCTCCTGTCACCCGCTCAGTGTGAGTAGCACCTGCCACAGAGCAGGAGCAGCCTTCATGGCCCTTCCTGGTGGCAGGTGGAGAAGAGATGTGCTGCCGAGTTGGGGGCTGTGTTTCTTTCCCAGGGGTCTCATGTCAGTCGGTGCCTGTGGCCCTTGGGCAGGAGCCTGTACTGTGATATCTTGACCCAACAAAAATGGCCTCAGGCGTTTGTTTTGGATTTGCTTCCTTTTTGGTGCTGGGGATGGAACCCAGGCCTCAGGGATGCTGAGCTCACACGCTACCAGCTGAGCTCAGCCCAGGACCTTTGTTTTGGACTAAGCTCCTGCATCAGGCCCCAACTGGTCAGAAGAGAATCCAAAATGGGGTCACCCCCACCCTGCAGAGTAGAGCTCAGAGGGGCTCATCTGTAGCTCAGTTGCCTTGCCCAGCACCCACGAGGCCTTAGAAAAGTAGGGAGTCACTCAAACTAAAGTCAAACCAAAATCGTCATGACTTTCTGGTCAATCAGGATCAGAGAAACTATAGCCAAATTTGAGCCAGTTTTAATTGGCCTGATAATGGAATTCACTCTGCCTTAATCCTTACCCACCCCCCAAAAAAGACTAACCTGATGTTGACGAGGTTTTTTGCGGAAATGGGGATGGGACCCTGCTTCACACGTGGAAGACGAACAATCTCCACTGACCACATCTCCAGCCCTTTTAAATTTTTATTTTGAGACACAGTCTCCCTAAGTTGCCCAGACCGGTATCAAATTTGAATCCTCCTGCCTCAGCCTCCAGAGCAGTTGGAATCGTAGGCGAGCGCTGTCAGGCCCAGCTACCGGTTACTTTTGTCCTGATGTCCTCAGGTAGCAGTGATGGGCAGTGTGGTGCATGGCAAGGTCAGGGCGTGCTTTAAGTTACTGGAAGCTTGGCAGACAGGTAAATAACTTGTACAGATAAACCTGTAGGAAACAGGTCCACAGACCTTGAGAGTGAGCCAGTAGAAACAGGGAGGGCTACGGGACAGGAGGACTGACAGGACTAACCTGATAGGGCCCACGGAGGTCGGGTAAAGCCAAGCGAGGCCTTCTGGCCACAGGGGTCGCCAGGAGTTCAGAGGGAGGTTTCCTTAGCAGCACAGGCTCGCTAAGGCCAATTCTGACTGGCCCTGACCCCAGGGCCCACCTTAGCAGGACTGACTTGTAAGTGAAACCCCCTGAATAGCATGGCCACCATGACAGTTCCAGAAAGGACCAATTAGGGACAAAAACGCCACCACCTGAGATGAAGGAGGAGTTGACACTTGATTGACAAAGTGCAGAAGGTGGTCCCCAGGTCTCAAGGCAAACGTCCACAGGAATAAATTTGGGAGCAACATGGTGTCCTCTGTCGTCTGCTCAGGGACAGAGGCGGTCCACTCTCTCCCTTGAGTGTGTTCACTGCCACTTTCTCTTCACTTAGGATAAAAGCCCCCCAGGTGCCTTTTAGTGTCTGACCCTGGATTTTCTTTCCTGGGACACAGAACGTAGGTTTGGAGTCTGTCCCGTGACAGTGTTTCCTCGGCCCCACCTCCAGGGAAACTGTTTACCGTTTGTTTTCTTCAGCTCTTTTCTGCTAAAACCCATCTCCACAGCTTGACTCATGGAAAGGAATTCTACTTTATGGAATGAAATGTTGCCTAATTCTAGAATTGAAAATAAAGCCAGTTAAGATTGATAAACTAAATTGTCCTGATTTTGTCCTGGGACCGGCTTGTGTTCTAGGTGGGGGAGAAGTCTGTGGTCCCCAAACCTCCTGACTCCTGCCTGGTGCCCATCACCTTGTATCCTGGGGTTTGTAGTTTGTTTGAAACAAGCGCTCCCTAATTTGCCTAGGCTGCCCTAGAACTCATGGCTCGAGCAATCCCGCCCCCAGCCCCCAAGCAGCTGGCCCGGGCCTGCACTCCTGCTCTGCATGCTCTCTTAGCCTGGCAGGGGTCTCAGGTCAGCTGACACCCGTGAGCTGGAGCAGGGAGAAATCCGCCACCAGGATTTGCCCTGTGACTCTGAGTTTGAGGCTCATGATGTCCTTGCTGAGTGATGACACGCAGTATCCTAAATTCTGACCATAAGTTTGAGGTGAAGCACTTCCTAACACAACCCCAGTGAGCAGACAGAGGCCCAGGTCTCCCAGCACCTGCGGGCAGCAGCCTTCATCAGGAGCTGACTTGTAGATTTCTTCTTATCAGTCCCTTAGCCTGGCGCTCAGCAAACATTTACATATTATCGGCTACTGTCTTTCAACAAGCAGGGCTGAGGAGTGGAGCCCTTCTGGTCCCAGAGCCTAAAATGTGTACTGTTTTTACCAACTCGGTGGGATCTTGTGATCTCTGTCAGGAACAGGACTCTACGGGGGACCAGGAGAGAACTAGTTTCATTCAGATGTTGGTGTTGGGGTGGAGGAATGCTAATTGACTTGGGGTGCATTTCAGAAGGTGCTCTGCTTGTGCTGCTGAGCACGTCTGGGGGGGGGGTCTCCCACATTGATCCTGCCTAAGTGGCTCTGCAGCTGTCAGGGGGACACACAGGTGTGAGGTGGGGGAGAACTAGTCCTGCTGAGAACAGGCCCTGGGGATCTGTTTTTTATCTGTGTCTTTGTCGTTGGAGAGTCCTGGAGAGGGTCTCCCATTAAGGGTCTCCTTAATGATGCATCTGGCTCATCAAGCATTTGCTCTT